CATCAACCCCTCAAGCCTTTTCGCCCCGCTCCTCCGTTCCCTTGCCGCATACTGTTGGCCTCGATCCCTGCGTCTGTTGGGTACAAGTCCGGCACTGTAACCTATAGGGCTAAGCCCAAGCCTGGTACTAGCAGGCCTGAGTTGCCTAATAAAGAGGTAGCCCCCGGCCTTTGGAGCCAAGGAACCGCCCCACACCAACTTCCTAACCCGTACTCACTCACACGACCACAAAAGGCCGTGCTGACTTCCCGACCGCGTCGTGGCCATCCTTACCCGGTGGAATCCAACAGATCTCATCATCTGGATTTCGCGTGCCTCCCCACTGGCTCACTGAACCGTCCACCGTATCCCACAGAACCAGAGAACAATACGCTCATAGGTTAGTTAGTTTAATCAAACAGAAACGACATGCGTCGACCAAAATTCACGCCACGTCTGCTATTTGTAATCAAAACAAAGGGGGAAAATCATGCGCGCCTCTACTTGCACGCCCATTCACCCTCTAATCTGGCCAAGTGCTTGGCCACCGCAGCCTTCAGACATCACTGCGCCTTGCGCAGCATACTCGAACTTTTAGACTTAGCTTGTTTTTTGTCGCTTGTAAAAACCAGGGCGGATAGCCTTGTAAGGGTATTCGCGCCGACAGCTTACCGGACCGTATTACGTCGCTTCGCAAGATCAAAAGCTATCAGTTCAACCACAACCCCAAAAATGCTGACGAGCAGGGTACCAATCCGATTAACCGACAGACCCAGGGTTGAGGCCTCCAATAATTCATGCCAAACACAACTTTACGCTGCCAGGATTCCAACCTGGGTCTCCGCCATCCTGACACTCGGACGTCGGGGTACTCCTCACTGTACTACAACATAAGTTCCACTGGATCTCTCACTGTCCTCTTCCCTGTGCCCTAAACAACCGCCAGCGTCTCGTTGTGTGCCCCCAGCCCTTCCCCTAAAACCAAGGTCGTGACAAAGGGCGCGGGCCCTAACTGAGACCTTTGAAGGCATTTTCTCGCCTTCCTCTAAAAAATCTAAACATTAAGCATACATAAACATACCCCACAAATGTCCACATAAACCTCCCTGCAGTCTAGTACAGGCAGACTAGGTCTCCATCTTGGCCCACCATAGTCTGGGTGATCATTCCACATCTACGGTCCACCGCATTGTTATTTTGGCGGCAGTGCCTTCGCGGGTTGCGCCACGATAGGATGTTCCTGATAAACATTCAATCAGGACTTTCTCAAAAAGACTCATATGACTCGATTCTTATCCCACGCCTCTCCGCAGGAGTAAAACCCTCCTAGGCGTTCACGCCCTTTTAAGTTTTTACTCCCTTGGCCAGACGCAGACCCTCTGCTCAGGTTGTGCCAAACAGCGGCCAATACTAAGGGTTGCGCCTTAGTGATGCCAGCTACACCCCTAGCTGGGTCTCTTACAAATGTCCAAGATTAGTACAAGCGGCCGGACGGTGTGTCGCAACAATACAAGCCTACAGCGGGACTACGCATAGACCTATCGCACATAACGGTATTTACCAATCCCTCTGTGGGACAACACAGAGGGACCACGGCAACCTCTCCATAATCACAAAAACAAAATCACCGCCTGGCTCACAAGGTCGTGGCCTCCCAGCTTGATCAGAGCAAGAAAGTCACACATCTCGATGACATCCCTCAAAATGCACCACTTGCGACATCCAAAAATTCCACCAATAACCAGACAAAACTTTTGTTCCCTCTCGTCAGTCTTTTATCACTCAGAATAATCTTCCATTTAACTTTGTTTTATATAAAGGAGGTTTCTCTTCAATAGGTCTTTTTCAGCCATCCTTCTCTTACTAGGATGGATTCTTCCATGACCTGAATCCAGCACATCCTCCCTTTTTGAAGATGAGTCATTCAATCAAATAATGGATACCTTCTCATTCAGAGGTGTCCCAACCATAATACAATTCATATGAGGAGATCAAGTCCTGAATCTTTTGCACAATTCAAACAACAAAACATTCACTGTGAATATTCGAAATCTTCACATCTCTTTTTCACAAATACGAACTGCATTGCCTCCCCTTATACCCTGCCTCATATTTTGCCCAAGGGCAGATCGCACAAGTATACCGAGGAGTAGACAGTTTGCTTACAATCACATTCACAATACACATGGCAAATGAGATGTTTCTCACACATTGTCCACACAAACCCATCATATATCAGAGTACAACCACACATGTGAGAGAGACAAGTGATCGTCACATATAAAGAATAGTCCCTGAAAAAGCCTCATCATAATATACACTCAGGGAATAAAATGTCTCACACAGAAAGTGTCTCCAAATCATAGCTCACTCAGCTCAAGCCACTTCGAACTCACACTGACAACTATCCATAAAATATATGTCAGGTTTGTCTCTCAAAGGCCAGGGTGTAGGCCACCTAAATATGTACAAGCCTCATCTAGATCATCCTGATCCTTAAGATCCCAGCTCAGTAGGAACGCAAGAGTTCAAATCTAGACTATTAACAATCGTCAAAAGGTCCTCTAAGTCTAAGAGGGTATCACACAGAGCCTAAGCTCATGCCTCACAAGATATCCAACAAATTACATAGGCAAACCAGCCCTACTTCCTCATCGCCTCCTAGTTTTGCCTATATAACTAAGCCCTAATTCCATCTGCAGACTTCTCTACCATCCTACCTTGTCTATCGTACATCTTACCCCCTGCCTCTGAGACCTTCCCTTCTGCCTTATCCTCAAGGAACTCGAGACAATCCAGAGTCTGATGCATGCCCCTCTTGCAGTAGAAGCATAGCTGATCAACCTTCCTCCTGAACTTCTTCTTCTTGGGCTGAGGAGGTGGCAGTGAAAGAGATCCTACCATAGTGCTGACAACCCCCTGCTGCTCTGATCGAGGGGCTGCAGTACTAACAACCTCCTGCTGCTCTATCCCAGAAACCGGTCCCCCAGACCCAGATCCAGTAGCCCAAGATCCCAGTCTGCTCCTCAAATCCCCTGTCGCTGAGACGCACTCAGGCACGTCCAACCTCTGAGGTCTCCTCTCGAGCATCTCTCCTGGCATCACCATGGGCTGCTCCTCAATCTCCTCTAGCTCATACTCAGGCATGCCCAACCTCTGGAGCTCGCCCTCGATGACACCCTCCGCCTCAATCCCCATCTCTCTCTCAAGAGGCTCCTCTATCCTCTGCTCGGGTGAAAACAAACTCGGCTCCTCCTGCATAGAATGCACTGCCTCAAGGAGCACGCCCATGGATCCCTCTGCAGCCGGCTCACTGCTAGATGGTGGTAGCCCCTCCTTAACTGCCAAAGGTACGACTGGGTCCGCCGCTGCTACAGGCAGCATCGCGAGCTCGGTAGGGGCTCTGAACTCGAAGGCCTCTCTCTCCGCCTCCCTTTGGGCTCTCGCCTCCTCTGACTCCAGGATAACTCTCCCCATAGGTGGCTCTCGGCGAGGCCCTGCTGCAGATAGCTGTCCTGGCAAACCCTGTCCTGGTTGCCTCTGCTCTCCCTGCCGGCTGCTCTCTGGCTTGTCCACCTTTCCCTGAGATTACTGCCTCAGGCTCTCAATTATAGCTGCATGACTGGCCACCAGTGCCTTGAGTTCCTGGATTTCCACCTCCATAGCCTCCAGGCGTACTCCATGGCCTTCCTCTTTTGTTTTCTTCCCCACTAGATCGCTCTCCAATAACAAGTGTCGGTCAAAAGTTGTCTTGGTCAGAAACTTGATTTTGCGATCCAATCTTTCTTCCACGTTTCTTGCTATCCTAAACCCGGCTCTGATTGACGAAGGAAGCTCCTCTCCTCTCTGTTCCCAGAGGTCCCTCCACATCTTTGGGATTTCCGGGGGCTTAGTTGGCGCGCTAGGTGGCTGACCTGGGAGCGCTCCTGCTGCCTCCGATCTCTGCCTTTCCTGCTACTGCTCCGGAAGTGGCCCCGCCGCCTCCAACCTCTGCCTCTCTTGCCATATTTCTTCTATCCTCCTGGTCCTTCTCGCCCTCTTTTCTTCAGCTGTTTCTCCAGCTGGCGCCCTCTCCCTCGTGTGGAGGTCGACCCTCTTCGGGATCTCTGCCTCCACCTCCTTCTCGGGCTGGCACGGCTCCTGGCGTGGCTCTGCAGGTGCTGGCTCCTCCAGGTCTGGGTGCTCCAGGGCATGAGCTGCTAGATGCCTGTCAATCAGGGCCAAGGCCTCTCTCCTTACAGCTGCCTTCTCTCTCCTTCTTTCTACTTTTCCTTCTGGCGAAGGAGCCTTTTCTGATGAAGGCAATGGGGCCTCCTCTCTCTGCAACCCCTCTTCTGCCTGGCGAGTACTCCTTTGTGTATCCCCGAGTCTCAAACCCACCGCTGACGTCTGAGGGGGCGTGTCCTCCTCAACCTCTATCACTTCCTTCCCTGTCTCCCCTCATCGCCCAGCCCTCTCTCTCGCTGAGTATCCCGGACCTCCTTATGTGGCACCTCCTCTCGTGGCACCTCCTCTCGTGGCACCGCCTCTGCCTGCTCTCCATGCTCCTCACCCCGAGGCGACGCTCTCCACCGAGAGATGTCCAAATGCGCCTCCAACTCCCTCAAGGGCCCCTCAGACGCCGGCGGCTCCTCCTGTGTGCATGCTGGCGACCTCCTCAGTCCACCCTCGGTAAACCGATGTAACTCCACTGGTCCCAGTCCATACTCAGGATACGCTCCTCGCTCCTCACCCTCGGGCTCTGACTCCTCCTCTCTCCTAGCTAGGGCCTTCCGTCCTCCTCGAGATGGTCTCGCCTCCCTGGGCTCGGGGCCCCTCTGCCTCTGACTCCTCTAACGCCTCTCAACCCTAGGCTGAGGGGGCTCTGGCCGTCGAAAGGCCTCTCCCAGATGTGCCCTGCAGCTCTCCCAGTCCCGGGCCATGTCTCTGACCTGCCTAGCCAGTGGTCTTTCCGCCTTCCTGGTCCAGAGTGGTAGTGTCTGCATCCAATCGTCTCCCGGTATACCTTGCCCCTGCATGAACCACTCAAAGGCGGGGATGAAGTTCGACGCATTCCCAATCTCTAGGCGGATCGGCCCGACATCAGGTCCTACAGGCGAGGGTCGTAGCTCCTGCACCCTCAACTCCACCTTTGACCTCGTCGTCGCCTCCTTACGGACCCGCGCGACGGGCTCCTCGAATTTGCCGACTCCTCTCAACCTCTCAATCCCCTGGGTCACGGTCCAGCCCATACGCCGCGCATGCTCCCAGAATTTGTCCAGGAATAGCTCGATGTCGTCACCATCGTACTCTGGAGTGCTCTCCCGATGGTGAGGCCCATGCCACTCATATCCTCCTGATGCGCCCAACGGCCTCCGAGGCGGCCGTGTCCCCTTCCCTCCTATTGGCATGGCTGTCTTCGTAAAGTCAGACCTGCACAACAGGCGAAGGAGACAACAGGCACACATTGGGGTAAGCAAACAGGTGATAATCAAAGCAAGCTCAGACCAGACCACACTCATGCAGCATGCATCCTATCTGACTTACACACCCTATCGCTTCTATTCTAAAGGCAGTCAGATCATCTCTCTTACCTCTTCTCTCGCCATAAATTTCTTCAATCGCGTTCCAGATACCCAATCCTTCCACTCAATCTCATTTAGCTCCTCAATCTGGTACGCTTCGAAGTCTCCGACCCGTACGATCCGGTAGGGACCTAACCATCTCTTATCGAGTTTCCTGGACCACTGCTTCTCCAGCGATGAATCGTAGAGAAGCACGACGTCCCCAACTGCCAAGGGCACTTTCCTCACCCGCGCAGACTGATCCCATCGAGCCTTATCATCCATACGGCTTCTCGCCACCTGATCAGACGCCTCCTGGATCCTTTCTTCTATCGCCCCTATCTGCTGCGCCCGAATATCGAGCAATTCTTCAAATGACAGGCTAATTTCCAGATCCTGGCGCCTCCATGTCTTAAGAAAGCTCTCGATAGGGAAGGTGGCGTGCCTTCCATACCACAGCGTCGCAGGTGCGTACTTGGTGGATCTTTTTACTGTAATGTGCTCGACAAAGAACGTCGCCCTTAGGTACCTTGGCCATTGATTAGGCCTACCTTCGGTCCACTTAGCCAGGAGGCTCGTAATGGTACTATGTCCTCTCTCCACGGGAGCATTTGCCTGGGGGTGCGCGGCCGTGGTGTAGTTGGCTGCTACACCATACCTTGATAACAATTCTTGTACCTCCTGGCAGGTAAACTCCGATCCCCTGTCCATTACGAATTCCCTGACGAAAGGATAGCGCAGATAGTACTCCTCGATGCAGCTCACCAAGACTGGCCCGGTCTTTGTGCGAATAGCACGCCCGTCTACGAAGCCAGACAGGTTATCGTGCGCATCGAAGATATAGTTATAGCCCTGATCCCCAAGTGGCATGAAAAGTAGATCGAGATGCACTACAGCCCCCATCTCTCGCTCTAGCCTTGGATGCAGCGGCTCTCCTTGCCTTAAACGGGATCTCTCCTGGCAGGGTACGCAAGATCGGCAAAACTTCCCGACCATGTCCATCATCCCATCCCAGTAGTACAACTCACTTATTTTGGCATACATGGCTTGTACCTCTCGATGCCCTCCTGCAATGCCGTCATGGAGCGCTGCTATGACATCAATCTGACGGTTCCTACCGCAGACGATTCTCCTGGGATTCCCCACTTCTCTCCTTACAAAAAGGTGGCCGTCTCGCACTAAGTAGCGCTGCAGCATCCTCTGAGCCCTATCGCTCGCATTCCTTAGCCGCATCTTGCAAGACAAAAGAAGCCCCAGCTCTAAGTAGATCCCGTCATACTCCTCTGCACGAAAGACCTCCTCAATCCCCCCCTCCTCGAACTCGTCGTCCTGGCTCTCGGGCACTTCGTCCACATTCCCTGCCGGGTTCAACGAGCCTGACTGGTTGAGGCTTTTCTGCAATAACGTGTTGACGAGGAAATACATTCCTCCCATCAGGTCCTCATGCTGTTCTACCTGGCCTGGTCCTTCCTCGATCGTCCTCATGTCCCCCACCAGACTATGCGAACTAACCAGCTCTAACTCCATCATCCACTGAACATCCTTACCACCCTAGGGATCCTCTTTTTCAAAGGGTTTAAGGACTAGCTCGGCCCTCCTTTCATACCCATTCGGCGCTTGCCAGATAGGATAGCGTGCACAGCTGGGTACTCGCGGCGACCACTTATTGATATGGAGACGAACATCTTCCTCCTGATCCAGAAATCCATCAATTGGGGGCCTGTTCTCCACCTCCTCCCCTTCCTGTTTATCCAAGTTGATCCGACTCAGCCCGTCTGCCCGGTTCTTACTGCCAGGAATCTGCTCCAACTCGAAAGTAAACATCCAGATGTACGTCAGCCACCTGGCAACCGTCGGATCTGATGGAACGTAATTCCTTAGAGAGTAGGCCAGGGCGGTCGGATCCACTCTCAGAATAAACCTCCTGCCGAAGATGTAGTTCCGGAAGATCCGCAGACAATGGAGGACGGCAAGGGTCTCCCTCTTGAACTGAGAGTAGTTCCTCTCGGTCGTACAGAGAGTCCGACTCTCAAATCTCAAGGGTTTTTCCTTTCCTTCCATGTCTGCCTGAATTAGAACTCTCCCTAAGGCAGTCGGCCCCGCATCCGTTTCAACAATGAAGGGTCGCGTCTCCGTGGCATTATAATCTGGCGCTCCCAATACCAACCCTCCTTCTCGAAATTCCTCCTTCATCCTAGCCACCACCTCTTCTTGCTCTTCACCCCAAACCTATTCCTGATGCTAACGAACTAACTTCCTCAGGTGTTCAGTCTTAGCGGCAAAGTTCTTGACGAAGGCCCTCCAAAATCCACACATACCAAGGAAGCTCCTGACATCAGTTATTGAGTGAAACGGAACTGGCCACTCAATAATCTTGTCCGTCTTTTTCATATCCGGCCTTCGGCCCTTCTCGCTGCAGACGAACCCCAAGATAGTCGCTTTCCTCATGCAGTGTCTGAATTTGGCCCCGCTCGCTGTGAGGTTATGCTCCTCGAGCAGGCTCAGGACCTTTTCGAGGTCCTGGATGTGCTTCCAAACAAAGCGCCTTACCCCTGGCAGGACTTCGTCTCTCTCCTTCACTGCTGGCCCCTTCACCGCCAAATCGTCGATGTATGGCTGTGTGATATGGGGGCTGACTGCTGCATAGCCCGAATCATGGCCCGTTGGACAATTGCTACCGCGTTGGTCTACCCTTGTGGGGCCACGTTCATGTGGATTAGTCCTCGCGGCGTGTGCATAGCCGTCACCGGCCTGTTCGGCGGATAGACCGGGAACTGATCATATCCTGAGTAAAGGTTTATAAGTGAGATTATAGGCCTTCCAGCACAGGACTCTGACAGAGCGTCTGCATTTGGCAGTCCTCCAGCATCCCGCACAGTCACCGCATTTAACCTCTGCAAATCTTGCACCCATTGCAGCGTCCCGTTAGGCTTAATGAAGCAAAACCACGGGGACGCATACGGTCCACTCGAATAGTCGGCGATGTGCGTATGTATCTTGCCGTCGAGGTAATCCACCACCTTCTTTTCCTCGTCAGGATTAGGATATCGCGCCCCTCTCATGTTCCAAGGCTCGTGTGGCACGGTATGGATGCGGATCATAGGTATCTTGTCCACATCCAGTCTGCCACGCTCCTCGTCGCTAAACGCATAGGCTCGATGCCTCCTCTTCACCAACTCTACCATCAACGTTCGCTCTTGAGGCAGCAGGAAGTCGGGTTCCCCTATAACCAACTTCCCCTCGTTCCCTTCGTTGATACGACATGGCCCTGCTAGAGCACTCTCCCTCATTCGCCGTATCAACCCTCGTTCCCTCTCGTAGTATGCTTCCTCATCTTCTGTAACGAGGACGAAAACCGGGCGGCACTTCTTATCGATCGTCTTGTACCGCCTTTGGGAACCCTGCTTGAGCCGTCCCCTAAAAAAGGCCGACTCACAGATTGCGCCTGTGCTAATGCGGGGTTCCTCCTGCCGTCCGGAAGACGATATACCAGCTCCAACCTCCCCACCTCGGGACATTCCAGGACCTGCTCCCTCAAGGCCTGGATGACATCCGGATATGCCATTTCATGCACGGCCACCAAGTCCATGGCCTTCCCGACGTCTGACAGGCTGAGGGAAAATGCCTCCACCTTCTCTTCTCCTTCTGGCTCTGCCCAGAGCCTCCGGCGCTCACTTTCCGATTCTTCAATCGTGAAGGATCCTGGATTGGGCCGGTTCCTTATACTCCTCGGCCCTGTGTTCCTGCAGGTAATTATTTCGTAATTCCCGCAAGCAGGGTCATTTAGGAGAAGGATTAAAGTCTCGTCATGCTTGTTAAATATCACGGTCTCTGTCCTACTTAGGAACGACCTTCCCAGGAGGATTCCATGATCCACGTCCGGGATTATGAAGAAGCATGCCTTGGCCTTCACCTTCCCAACCTCGATGAGCACATTCGAGGTTGTCCCGCAAAACACGGCCTTACAACTGGCCCCATGCAGAATACCGCAATCTGAACGGTCTATGTCGAGCCCGAATCTGATAGCGTCCGCTTCTCGGATGATGTTCATTTCAGCCCCGGTGTCCACCATTGCCGCACACTTAGAGCCTTTTACCACTAAGTACACTGTGCCGCAGGCCACGCACTTCCAATCCATCTTCGTGCCCGATTCCGCCCACTTTGCCTCCTTGGGCAGGATCGTGCCCAGATGGACGTTGGGCACTAAGCGCCGCGACAACCTCTCTTTCAATTCATCGCGGAGTCGCGGGGCTGACGCCAGGATTTCCTTCAGGGTCATGAGATCATTATGCCCTTCTAGCAGCCTGTCAATTACTCTCTCCACGTCAAACCCCTCTTCCAACCGAACCGTATACTTTTTCTTCTTGGGAGGTCTGTCATGCATGACCGTCTCGGCCACTTCCCTGGTTCCTTTTCTCCTTGCCCGCTGCTCCGCTCTCTGATCCTCTTCCCGGCGTAGCCTCTCGTCTTTTTGCTCCTTATCGTCTCAATCCTACACTTCCACGGCCTCTTTCCTTTTTCCTGGCTCTGGCTCCCTCCTGGGAGGCTCTTGGCTGACACTGGCCTTGGCTTGACTTCTCGTTCGCGCTGCCTGCGCCAGCCGGGCCTGCGGGGTGAGGGGTCTCCCCATCACTCCCGATTGTGGGCCCGACCCCACCACATTTACTCCGGGTCGCCCAGGCGCCGACTCCGGGCCGGAGTCGTACAGGAACACCTTTGGGATGCTAGTCTTCCATTCCCTTACTTCCTTGCAGAGGTTCACCAACTTCTATTGGTACCTCCCCACCTTGTCCAGTAGATCCTCCACTTTTCCCAATAGGAGGGACGACGGTTCCACCTTTCTTTCCTCTTTCTCATCGTCTGATTCGATGATTATGGGCTCTTTCCTCTTACTTCCTTCTCGTGGTCCTTGAGTCACTTCCTCGTCGCTCCCCACTTCCTCTATCGCAATCGGTGGCTCTTTCTTTTCCTGCCATAGCCTAAATTCCTCTATCCCCATTGATGGTCCTTTCTTCTCCTGCCATAGCCTGAACGTGGCAGGAGGTGGCGGCCCGGCTGCCGCCCTTCGTTGGGCTTCCGCTCTCACTCCCCCAAGCCTTCTGTCAATGAACTCCCCAAACTGGTCATAAATGTTTCCGTCCATAGTGGAGGAAATCAGTCCGTTCTTCTTGTCTTCCCACCTTATGTTACAGAATCTTATAGTGTGGCCTTGCTGGTCATAATGTTGGCAGAAGGGTGACTTCCTTGATCCCCCTGGCCTTGATACCCCTGGCCTTGGTACCCCTGGCCTTGGTTTCCCCGGCTTTGACCATTCCATTGCCCTCCTCGTCCGCCGCCATTCCTGCCTCTCCCCCTTCCTCCACCCCTCCCTCCGTTGCCTTGATTGCCCTGCCCCTAGTTCCCACATCCAGCCACGCTTCCCTATGCACTGGGAGCGGGCGATGGCGGCGGGGCCACAGGCTGGGCCTGGGGTGCGGGGTAGATGGGTGGCGGCATACTCGTTTGCGGCCCGGCTACTGGCGGCGGACTACCCCATTGCACAATTGCATTGATCACCGGCCAAGGCCACTGTCCGTGGGAGGGTTCCATTCCTTGCGGGGGGCCCGCACTAGACGATGGCGCCGCCACACTTGGAGGAGCCGCCGCCAGGGCCTGGGGCGTCTTCCCTTTTCCTGACCCCTGCCCGCCCTGCGCCAAGTTATGCAATTTGCGTTGGGCCTTCGTCAGGTGTTGCGGCATCGGCTCTTCCTCTTCCCAGAGCTCCTCCTGAACGGCCTCTTCTACCACTGACTCCTTTCCTTTCACCTGAACAGCCGTCACTACCCTTCTCTGCACCATCGACTCTGTCGCATATCCCAGCTGCGCCAGTACATCCGTGACAATCCTTTTTACTCCCGGGGTCCCAGAAGCGGTCGCATCTCTTTCCTTTCTCTTCTGCCTTTGCAGGCGTACCTAACGTTGCTCCACTTGGTCCAAGCATCCAACTTTCACCCCTTCGTCAATGGTGGCCCAGGTGAGTTTGGTGCTATCCCCTCCATGTCTTGTCAGCTCGACGGCCTCCGATGCCGTGAGTAGCCCCAGGAAGATGGCGCACTGCGCCTCCTCCGAAATCCCACGGACCTTTCGTGCCCTTTTCTTGAATTCTTGAACAAAGACCCCTATCGTCGTAAAGTCCTCTTTGTTCATTGCCTCAAGGTTCGTGGTGGTCAACAGCCCGTCTCCCAAGCGGTACTTCCTCTGCATTCCTTCCTTGAACCTTTCCCAGCTACCTTGGGCCGCATCTATGACTTTCTTCACTTCTGGGTGGTAGCTGTGAAGGACATACTGAAGAATGCGTTGAAACTTTACAACTTCCGACCGCCCGACCAAAGCTTGTTCCACCCGCTCCAGCCATTCTGAAACTCTCTCTCCACAAAAATGGAAAGTATCGACCTTAGGGATATTGCTCGGGTTCCTTTCATGCCGGTCAATGGTCGTGATGAGGTCATCGAGCGTCAGGCCTTTCCTGGGACCATCCGATGCACCGCCAGTCTCAGGCATCTTGACATCCTCTTCTTTTCAAGCTCCCTGACAAAAGAAAACAAGCACACCCCCTTATTCAGCATTACACCTTGATCGGTCTATTTCCATCCCTTCTACCTAACTCTTACTATGTACTCTTACCCAACATTAACACGGTCGTCCCTCATACTTCTCCTAGCTCACATAGGTAAACTTCCTTACCTATACTTAGTCATTCATTATTTTTCCTTACCTTCTCGTCATTTTCTTTATGCCTTTTCCCATTCACTTCTCATACCTGGATGTCGTTCCACCAGGGACAACGGTAGGCTATCCGTTATCCCCGGTAACGGCGCCACCTGTCGAGCGCATCGGTCCGGCACCGCACCAGGGCAGCTCGGGACCCTTCCGGCCGCGTCACGCAGGAGTTGGTTTAAATCCTTCATCGCAAATAATACATGTGGAGCTTCCTTAAGCCGCTCCGGCCGAGTGTGCCAGCCTTACCTCTCGCGAGCCCCTACGACAGGATAGGGTCTGCGCGAGGCACGACTTACCTACACCTTGCGGGAGCTGTCACCTCCCTTCGCTGGGCGTATCCCCGCCGAGCTACCAGTCCACAGTACGAGAGCTAATCAGTTGCAATCGCAGAGGTGGACCAGTCGAGGGCGTTTCTCGTTCGCTGTAGCATAGGGGGTACGCACAGTAATACGCCTCTATCGGACCCGCACGCGAACCGACATCTCGGGGGACTGAAGTCCCAAGCGCGATTCGGCGTCGGTCGACTAGGACGCATCCCACACACCACGCGCACACCACTCTAGCAACCACAAGACAACAACACACACACACACTCACAAAACGACACAACGCAAACAACGCGACAACGCTCCTAGCCCCTCGGTAGCCGTCCCATAACTCTCTGATGCGGAAATCGAATAGGTGTCGCGCGTGAAACTTTTGTATAAAACCGCGCGGACCCAGGGCTGACTTATATCGACTCGCAATGCAATCGTTCGCAAGCAGTCGTAATGATGACGTACTATGTGGTACCCATACTTACGTGGTCCTCGTTAATCTCGAGGGTCAGATTCGACACTGAAGCGTCGGCTGACACGCGCCTTGAGGGTTAATCTCTCGACGCTGGACAACCGTCATGCGCGGTTGAGGATCACACACCCTCTTCTGCACCCTTATGCAGAGTGTGTGGTACACAGGTTTATACATGTGGTGGTAGTCGTCTCTCGCGGCCCTAGGGGTAAGTCCTCCCTGACCCTGGGCGAAAGTCAAGGGGGTTGACTTTGACGGCTGCCACGGACTTAAAGGCCCAACCATAAAAATCTCAAAAAAACAAAGGATAAGGAATAGGCCGACGGTTTCCCCGCCTAATAAAAATCATAACCCTGGGGTGCCCTCCCTTTTTTCGCGCGGTGTCGGCGGCGTATAGTAATCCTTAAACACTCGTCCATACATGCCGGTCCCTTTTTGATCCCATAACTTTTAAACACTAGGGCGGTGAAACGTCGTGCGCTAAATTCTGATATAAAGCCGCGCAGCTACGGATCAATCTCATACCAAGCAGCAATGCCAACCTTACGTGGTAATCGCGGCCCCGGCTTCGCGATATTGAATGGCTGAAGGAATATATCGTGAGGGGTCACCCCACAAGATATTGAACGGTTGAAGGACATGTCGTTCGGCCCTCGCGACATTTCCGCCTTCAGGGTGGGGTGCCTCGATGGGCAAAGCGAATAGGTTCTGCGCGAGGGAAAATCCCTCCCCTGCAGAGCCTAGGGCTTGGAATGTCCTGGAGAAGGACCTTGAATCTCGGCCCAGGACCAACGTCCGACTAAGAGAATCCTCAAGAAGCAAAGCAAAATACCAGGAAGGGTCTTCCCTGGGTCTCCTAGTCTTAACCTCTCAGTATGCTCTTTGTGCGGGGGCCCCTTGACCCATGCAGACACTCATCCCAGATACACTCATCTTTACATATAAAAGGGGAAGTATGTGACGATCACTTTTCATAGTCTCACTTAGGTCCCTCACAATAATACGTATATACGTGATCGCACGTAACCAAATCCAGAATCTGATTCCCAACACATACCTGCAACCACATCAATGAGTCAAATCAACAGCCCACGCACTACACGGAGTCAAACCCAACCATCTTCGACACTCATACCCCTCGCTTTAGCCATGCAAGCCCCAACCCTCCTGTCCAACCAACCTTAATTAAGTACTCAGTACCTTTGTTAAATGGCCATTCAATAAAAGTCCGGGTGAAACCATAATGAAACAATGAAAATCACCGGGGCTAAAGCCTTTTAGGTTGAGTGTGGAGGGTGAGTTGGAACTGAGTCGTAAACCGACGAATCGGCAACCGACCTGTTATCAGTGATAACAGAAGATAGTCTTCAAGGGATCAACCTGAATCTAGTCCTGAACTTGAATCAGACGATCAAGAGGACCTGTAACACATGACAGGTCAATGTCCCAGGCTAAACCTATAAGTTCATGGAGAACAATCTCCATATCGTGATCTTACCCAAATCACCCTAGTTAACTATATCTAAGCCTACCTCTAAGCAATATGGCAAAATCTTCCCTTAGTCAAAGTGGACTCATCTGATCTCCACCTGTCAAAACATAATCGATCTCTTTTAAACTAAGAAAATTTCGGCAGTGCTTCCCGTAGGAAAAGTGTCTTTCCAAAATTTATATAAGTCCGGATATGGAAGCAGAAATAATTTCTAACTCCGGAAAGTCAAAATTATGTCTAACTTCTTGAAATAGCAGAAATTTTGGCAGCACTCCCTTTAAGAAGGGAGACTTCCCAGATTTATACAAAGTCAGATATGGAAGCAGAAATAACTTCTAACTTTGGAAAGTCAAATTTATGTCTAACTTCCTGAAATAGCAGAAATTTGGGCAGCACTCCCTTTAGAAAGGGATAC